GATGATTTAAATATGATTCCAATAGCCGTGCATACTGCAACGGAAAGAGTACCTTTAGTTTCTTGATGAGGCCATCATGCTAAACTTTATCAAACGCCTGGGCGACGTCTAGAAAAACGGCGGAGCATATTTTCTTCTTTTCTTGGCACTCTTCTATTACTTCTGTTATTCTATGTACTTGATCGACTGTAGAATGTTTATTGCGAAAGCCAAACTGATGGTCAGGAACCATCTGTCCCTCATCAATTATCTTCTTCAGCCTTCTGTGAAAAAGTTTCTCAGATAATTTTGATAACACAGGCAGAAGAAAAATGGGCCTGTAAGATTTAGCTTCGTTTACAGTTTTGCCGGGTTTTGTTATCATAATTACATCTGCCGTTTTCCACAACATAGGAACGTGTTTTAAGCGAAACGATGCATTAATTAAATGGGTAATTTTAATAATCCCTTTTTTGGGAGTTGTTTGAGTATGTCTCCCGTGACTAAAAAATCTTACCCTGTGGCCTGCCTATTTCACTTCGTCTCTTTCAGATGGGCATTCACTCAGCTAAAGATCACCATACTGGATGAGAACGACCAGGCGCCCCAGTTTTCCCAGGACAATATCGACGTGGCGCTTTCTGAGGACGCTCCCCCAGGCACTCTGGTTGCCATGCTAACGGCCGTCGATAAGGACCAGGGAACCAATGGGAGCGTGTCCTATTTGTTGCACTCCGGCCTGGACGACGCCTTCCAGCTTGACGGCCTAACTGGTCAGCTGACTACTAAACGGCGCCTGGATCGAGAGAAAGTCTCCAACTACACGATCCGGGTGGTGGCACGCGATCAAGGCAACCCGCCTCAAAGCAGCACTGCCACCGTCCAACTCCAGGTTCTGGATGAGAACGACAACTCGCCGGAATTCTATCCTAAGTACTACTTTGCCCCCGTTTCGGAAGACTTAGCTCCTGGCGCTATCATCGTCAGGGTCAGGGCGGTGGATCGTGACGACGGCGTCAACGCGCTGGTCACCTACCATCTAGAGGAGCCTACACAGGAGGAGTTTTTCGCCATTGATCCCAACTCGGGAGGCCTCACGCTCAAAAAGCTGTTCCCCAAGTCACTAGTCAAGCTGCAAGTGTCTGCTAGAGATCACGGCGGGCGTCGCAGTGTAGAGGACGCAGTGGTGGAGGTCGTTAAGGAGAACTACGTGGAGGAGCTAAGCTTTGAGAGCTACGGGTACGAGTTTCGCATTGTCGAAGATCCAGGTGAGCGGTTTTTTTCATATAGTGTTGTCCCTTTGAAACGTCATAAATTAAATCGAGCGTGCTGGGTACACAGCAAGCAAATCATATCTCAATCTAAAATACGACTTGCAGATGATGCAGCGTCGTTTAAAAGTCGCAAAGTGGGAGCCGTCAGTGTACGAAACAGTGCAGCCACCTACACCATTGTCTACGGTGATCCTCACGGCATTTTCCGCATCGACGGCAACACTGGCAACATTGCAACTGCGCAGAAAGTCGACTGCGAGCTGCAAAGCACGTACACGTTGAACGTTGTTGCGCGCCATGGACTCAGCTATGGCAATGCCACTGTGAAAATATCGGTAGCTGATCTCAACGACCATCAGCCTGACTTTGTGCGTGCGAAGGACGAGATTTCATTGGACGAAAACGCGGCCGTGGGTCAAGAAGTGTACTTTGCCAGAGCGCGCGATTTGGACGCTGGAGAAAACGGGCGAATCAGCTACGAGCTCAGCTATAATCCAGGAGAAGTGTTTCGGATTGCCACCGCTACCGGAGCGTTGTATCTGAATCGGCCAATCAGCGCCGAGCCCGGCTCGGACCTGGTCGTTACGATTACCGCCACCGATTCCGGTTCACCGCGACTCTCAGCCACGATGCGCCTGCGCGTTACAGTAGCTGACGTCAACGACCATACGCCCGCCTTTGACCACACGTCCTATGAAACGTCGCTGTCGGAATTGACGAAAGTGAACGAACGGTTTTTCGCAGTGGCCGCGAGCGACCCAGATCTAGCCGATAATGGCCGAATCAGCTACACGATCAGTGACGGCGACGCTGAGGGAGTGTTCGGTATTTTCCCGGACGGATTTCTGTTCTTGCGCAAGACGCTGGATCGGGAGAATCGAGACTACTACGCCCTTGAAGTGACAGCCACGGATTTGGGAGAGTGCGCAAGATCTTCAACCGTGCCAGTGGTGGTGCATGTGGTGGATGAAAACGACAACGCCCCCCGTTTCACCAATGAAACGTTTGCGATGGAAGTGGGCGAAAATCAACCTGTGGGCACATTTGTGGGCAAACTGACAGCGACGGATAAGGATATCGGTAAGTTACATTTTTGACTGAAATCGTAATAAAGGCATAAAGGTTAATAAAGTCTGGTGTCATTTTATTTGGAATGTAATCTGTTTTTTTTTCAAATATTTTTTGACAGCTGTCAAATTTTGAAAAAATTATATTGGTTTCGAGTGGAGCATGAAAAACTGTCCATTTACCTTCTATCTGCTGTATTTTTAAATATCCCTGTGCTAATCATCGCAATACGTCATACGTGCTAATCATCGCAATACGTCATACGTGCTAATCATCGCACTCGTACAATCTCAGAACAATATGACATAATAACGACCTGATCTGACGTCAAGATGCTGACTGGGTAAACCAGTCAACTGACTTAAAACTTTTAACAATTCCATTTAGGTCGAAACGCAGAACTGATTTTCGCCCTTTCGCGGCTCCAAAACGACTTTTCCATCGACCCGAAGAATGGATTTCTCAGAACAAGGAGAGTGTTTGACCGAGAGGAGTTGGTGCGTCACGGAGATGGCGCTTTCGTCGCCCTGGACGTCACCGTCATGGACAATGGCACCCCGCGTCTCAAGGACAAGGTCAAGGTTGTTGTCAAAGTGACGGACGAAAATGACAACGCTCCCCGTTTCCTGCGCACTCCCTACAAAGTCCAAGTATCAGAAGGTAGCGCTACGGGCGCTCAGATTCTGAGGCTGTTTGCTCAAGATGCTGACGAGGGGCTCAACGGGGACGTTTACTACTCAATTCTGGGCGGAAACGATGATGGCAAGTTCGAAATCGAAGAGACCACAGGTAAGAAACACCTCCGAATTTTTTAAGAATGGTAAATTTTAATCGCAGGATGTTCGCAGGTCAAATCGTGCTCAGCGGCCAGCTGGACCGGGAAACCACCTCAAAGTACACTCTTATCGTGCAAGCGCGAGATGAAGGTTTGGTTCAACTTTTCACTACAACCAGTGTAGAGGTTCAGGTTTTGGATGAGAATGACAACGCACCTGAGTTTGCACAGACGACTACGAAAATCTCAGTGAGCGAGTCAACCAAGGCCGGCACTGAGCTCATCCGATTCAAGGCCACCGATGGGGACTTGGGAGTCAACTCAGAAGTGTCCTATTCGATAACTTGGGGCAATCGCAAGGACGTATTTTTCATAGATAAAAGCAGTGGATCGCTGTTTCTCCACAAGCCTCTGGACTACGAAGATGTTCCTTCATACGTCTTGAATATTACTGCCATGGATAATGGAAGCCCGCGACTGTATTCCTCCATTTTGTTTTCCGTTGCTGTAGAGGACGCCAATGACAATCCCCCATCCTTTCCTAGCACTGCCATTGTGCGCCAACTGAAGGAAGGGATCCCGGTGCGCACGCCAGTTGTCACAGTGACAGCTAGTGATCCGGACTCTGGACTCAATGGGAATGTAAGTTTTTTATTGACCTGGATTGTTTGTTTATTTTCATTGATTTTCTCTTCAGATAACATATTCGATTTCCAACCAAGATCCCGACGACTCTAATCGACATTTTGGGATCAATCCTATCACAGGGGTGATTCACACGCTGCGAGCCATCGATCGGGAAACAATCGACTATTTCCGGCTAACGGTCGTGGCAACGGACATGGCCGAACCCCCATCCAGTCGTCTGAGTGCCGAAAAGTTGGTAACCGTGATTGTCGAAGACATTAACGATAACCTGCCGATTTTCGTGTCAATGAACGCGGCAATTTTATCAATACGCGACATTGACCGACCATCAATAACCGTCACCACGGTGTACGCACGCGACATCGATTCAGCTACCAACGGCTTAGTGACTTACGAATTGCTGAGCGATCCTAGCGACGCGTTCGCATTGGATCAGAGTTCGGGAGTGTTGCGCCTGCGGATACCACTCACCAATCCCGAGCCTACTTATCGGCTGAGCGTCAAAGCCACTGACGAGGCTGTCCAATCGGAGCGCAGAAGTTCCGAAGCCTACATTACGATCATAACCGAACGCGATGTGACCGGGCCCAAATTTGACAGTTCGGGCTTTTCCGGCAGTGTTTTCGAAAACGAACCGCCCGGTACGTCAATTCTCACAGTGTCAATCAGTGCCAATATCGATGTAGAGTACTACATTACCAATGTGACGGGAAATGGGGCGCAAGTTGATCGACTGTTTGAGATCGACACCAAACTTGGTGTGCTGTCAACTGCCGTAGAGCTGGATCGAGAGGCAGGAATAGACACTTATGTGGTGGAAGTCTACGCAGTTGTGATTGGGGCTGGAGGCGCAAAAACTTCCAAAACAAAGGTGAGAGGATTATATTTCTTTAAACAGCCGTAGACAAGCTGGACGTTTAATTGACAAGGAGCACGAATTGTGTGGAAATTGACGGAACTCTTCTACCGGGGCTTAATAAAGTGACAGATGACAAATTCAAAGGTTCGTTGCTGGATCTAGACAGCCGTGCCTAATCTTCTTCTTCTTAATCTTCGTCTTAGTACACCGATAAGATCAAGCGGCTTTCAAATCAGATTAGGCTTAGACAGTGATGCCATTTCTTCGAATTAGTCAAGCGGAACGTGAAAAGGGACTTGAATATCAGATGGAAATTTGGATATAGGAGCGGTGTTGCCCAATACGAATCCTTGTGTGCATCGGCATAAATTACACTTTCCTTTAATTGAAATGTTCCTTATTTAAAACTTTTTTATTAGACGTATTTGCAATTGAAAAGTGATAAAAATGTTAGAATATATCACGAGACCAGGAGCGATTTTAACTGGTTTGTGTCACAAAATACCAAAAAGTTGTCCAAACCAGGATGCCATTTCCTTTATGGTGGTATTATTATTATCATATTTTTCGTAAAACGGTTTCCAAAGAATGTGCCAATAGCTTATTGCCTGGGCGTTGACTACAAAACATTAAATTTGGTAACGATCTAGGAAAGTGTGCACAAGATGGCAACGTGCTATTCAAGATCTTCGATCTCTTGTAATGTTAAATTGGAAGGTCAAAACAGACAAGAGAGAGACTGGTTGTGTAACCGTGAATACTCGGAATTCTATTGGTCGTATTGAATTTTAATGGTTTTTGATTGGTATGGAATTTGGTCGCTGATAGCGATCGATCTTGAATAGAGGATTTCATTATATCGTGTCTTGTTCGTAGGAGATGGTTCCAAAGTGGACATTCATGCTTCATGCAACCAACAAAGTAAAAGCAGCGGTACGAAAAAGGGTCGCAATTTTATCGGGCCAGATAAGCGAAATATTTCCCGGGTCCGATCGCGCTCCGTTTCGGGCACTAAAATATGTAAATGCACCGCAAAACCAATAATTAAGATAATCGCCGAAATAAACGTTTGAAAATGCCGGGGCCCATTAATCTTGTTATTTTTGTCAAAATTCGCCCGAAAGCCCTTTTTTTCGGTTGGGTTTTGGCTTTTTTTTTTAATTCCCAGGCCAGAAATCAAGTTGCTTTCAATGCTCTTCTTTTTTCCGCATCCTCTCGCTCAAGTCCTTGATCTCATTTAGTGCCCAGACTAAGTTGCTCAAAAATGCTCTAAAACCTGTCAGAGCGATGTTTCACTGTGATTATTGTCAGGTTTCTTCGGTTCGTTTAAACATCGGCTTTATAATCGCTTAAAAAACCTATACACTCATCGAGTGTATACACAGTTCCAGCTGAAATGAGCTATGAAACTTAAACAAATCCTCCAAGCTGATCATCGCAGTCGGTCAGCCGTTAAAAACGTTATTTTCTTCAAGTCCACGCACAGCGGATTGCTCATCAATTCGTACAGTTAGGGGCAGATAAAGATGGCCCGGAGAAAAACTAGATACATATAGTGAGCCAGATAAAAAGATAATCGAATTCATTATCTTCCATTGTTTGAAGCTGGGCGAGCATTTGACGCGCGATTTAATCGATGCTTTCGCATTGTCATTGCACGAAATCGGTTCCAACTAACTCAGCTTTCAGGCTTAGAAGAGTAGGACTTTTAAACAGTTAAAAAAATAGATATTCAACTGATCTTGGGGTTAATTTGCGTTGTCAAATGCCATTTTCAAGGCACTAAAAGCCTGTCTAATAGAAGCCGTCAATCCTTAATTTTTATATGTAAAGGGTGGTTTAGTTTGTCGTAGTAGATCATTGACAATTGGGAATTTCAGGCAAACATTAACGTGGGAAATGTTTTGATACGTTATGTCAGTACGTTTCAGTGTTTTCTACCATCATCAGTTAATCTGTTTAGGAAATGATTTTGTTTTTTTTCACTTGCTAGCTTATCTCGAGGTAGGGATGGGAGAGAAACATCGATGTTTCGCAAACATCGATGTAATTCTTTCGATGTTCGATATTTTTACCATCGATGTTGGAAATTTGGAACATCGATAAAACATCGATGTTAGATCCTGAAATGAAATTATCGGACATTTGATGTTGATACTAGATAGAAACATTTTCTAAGAAATCTTTAATAGTACCGATTCAAACGCTACTGCGGCCCATTTCCAGCTGCATCCGAAAAAAAGCTCCTTTTGCAGTCAGTTGACCGAAAATGTGGCAAATATAAGTTGAATAAAGTTGATTATTAAGTTAATCAATTTGAAATTTGTATGCAACGGCAAACTATCAGAACATCGATGTTGTCAAACATCGATGTTCTGCCTTCGATGTTTCCCTAACATCGATATTACCTTTCGATGGCTACCATCGATGTTATAGGATCGATGTCCCATCCCTATCTCGAGGCAAAGTTTCGTGTATGCATTCTCTAAAGTACACACCTTCACTCGATTGTTAACTTCAAACGCCATGAACTAAGGAATTACCTTTAATTCTGTTTAGTGGTGGGAAGAACCGAAACAAATAATTCGAATAGCTATCGCAATAATGGCATGCGAGATATTGGGAATCTCTCGAAAATAAAAACAATTCGATTGTCCCCGTTGCGAGTTCTGTTTAGTTCTCGCCACCATGTAGATTTAAGCATGGAAATGGAAACTCGAAACAGAAATAAATCGAGTCAATTTTAAATCGCAGCATGGTACCGAAAATAGACGTTTCGGTCTAATGTCGCGCGGCAGGGGCTCCGGCTGGGTACCCGAAAAAGTCGCTCTTCTATGCTGGACCCGCATATTCGACCATTTGTTATTGGGTTCCCCGTTCCGATAACGGTGCCGATTTCGTGTAGGTAAAAATGCGCAGAGATTGGACGGCATATTGTCTTATCCAATTTATAACCCGACCGTTTTGTAACGATTAGCCCAAACGCTCTGTATACATTTTAATGGTGGGAAGGCTTCAAAAAAATTCCCATTTTCTTGTGTGCGAGGGGGTACCCGACGGCCAATTTCCTCTAAGGCCACTTCAGTTCAAACTAGAGATTTTTGCCATTGTAAATTTGTCTTCGGCTAACGGTGTTTTCTGAAATATAGCACGTCGGAATAATAATTATTGGACGAAGATTTAAAGGCCTAAAGGCGCGCAATGCAATTGCTTTGACCTTTGAGGTCACCGGCTTCGCCTAGCCGTAAAACCGTGCAGTTGGAAAAGTTGCGAAAATATCGATTTGGGCGTGATCGACCTGAGAACCAAAAAATGTCTCATATTGCCAGTTGCAAAACAAAACCTGTCAAATTATTCACTGTTCCTGTCAAATATTTTGGCATTTCTTATTATACAGGTTGTCCGTCAGTGACTGACAAGTTACAGTGACATTTGAGTGCAATATGGGTTAATTTACTAACTGACGTGTAGACGAGCGAAGTTAAAGGAAATATTTAGACCGGACGAAACCACAAACAGTTCGGCGAAACCGAAAAGATCAACTCGTGTTTGCTCGCTTCGGACAATATTGGTTTTAACTCGTTGAAACAATGTGGAATAGGTAAACACGCACTTTTACGTCCTCGGTATTGGTTTTTCTCATTAAGTCCAAGTTTCAATCGTAAATTGCTCGCCATATTACGTCACAGAATATACAGGGTGGCCCACTAAGAGGGATGGTTGTATTTCAGAAACTATTAATCGAATTCAGGCAAAAAAATATAAACGAGAATTCCAAAAATAATGTTTATTTCAACAGAAAGCAGTGGCGTATAATTTTTTCTCAAAAAGTATTCAATGCAAAAATCGTACGTTTGTTGTTAATCGCTGCAAGAACTGCGCTCTTAATTATCAGAATATCATTAAGAAAAACCCTGTATTTGGTTGTGTTTCCTCCGCTCAAACTTTTCACACAACCGACATTTTTAAATAATGGTTGAGGATGATTCAAAACGACAGACGATTTTTTTATCCGAAATTGTTGAGTAATTAATGGCGTGGTCGATCGAGCATTCGGGACCGGCCATTAAAAAAGCAGTCGACCGCCCGGCCAATTAGGAATGTTAATGAAATTCGTCTAAAATCGATAATTAGCCGGTATTGTGTGCAAATTATCGACAGTGTCGGTTTTCGGGGGTTTTTCTCCACCAGCTTCAGGACAAACATCAGAAACTTCCCAGTCAAACACTAATAACAGAAGCAAACAGCATTTATTGCTTTAAATCTTCCGCGTTTTTCTTTAGCTCTTCCATAGGGGGTACTAAGTACCCTCTATTTTGCTTTTGTGGTTCGTTCGCTTAATTTTTTTTGATTTTACAACTGTTGAAAGCGACAAAATGCTCTTTGAAAAAAAAAAATGAAACGAGAACAACGCCCACGTTTCGAACTTTCACTTCGCTCGGCCCGCATATGAAAACAAGTACCTGGCAGGAAAAATACAAACGGCCATTGTTGTGAAATGATCTGTCAATTAATCGCGCACAAAGGCATATTTTACCCAAGAGAAACTCGTCAAAATCGAAAGCTAAACTCTACGTTGCCAAGTGTTCATGGCTGCATGGCTCAATAGAGACTAAAATATGCTTCAAGACAATGGTTCAACTGCAGAAATCGGCAGAAAAATGTCAAAGTTATCACCATTTAACTTCGGTTTATTTGACTACAACTATTCAGGGTTTTAATCTGTTAAATGGGTCAATTTGTTCGAAAAACGATCAATTTGGGGCAGTTTCAATTGACACATTGACAAAATGACCGCAAACAATCATGACAACCCGAACGAGCGACGTCGCCCGAAACAAAACGAGAATAAAAAACAAAAAACAATGGAACACCGCGTTAAACGATCGATTTGTCAAGAGTGCCGCCAACCAAAAACAATCACGCATGGTTCGTAGCCCTGTTGCGAAATTTTCAGTAAATTCAAAAGCAGACAACCACAGGCTCGATCAGGTTTACCTCACAGGAATTACGGCCAAATGTAGTAGACGGCAACGTGGCATGGGGTTCTGTAAAAGGTGGTTCCCAGGGGAGAGTGGCGTTGCCGGTTTGTCGTTCAGTGAACAGACTTGAGAATTTTCGGTAACCGCCGATGTAGTGAATTTGTAAATGCAAATTTTGCAAATGTAGTCTTTTTCTCAGTTGATTGGAGGCATGGAGAGCATTAAGTTTAAGCAGTTAAAGAGAGCAAAGACTCCGTGATAGTTGTAATCGGTTTCTTTTTCTTTTGTTTTCCGTCCACTTCTCTTGGGTCGACGATGATGACTCGATGGAATATAAATTAAGTAACGTGAACCCATCGAGAAGAAATCGTAAAGTTCAAGGTGAAGGCTCGTTTAGTGCTCTTCTTCAACTAGACAAAATCGATGTGGGAGATTCGAATGGTGTTTCCCATTTAACTTTTCCACTTGTTGAAATGCCCATATTTTAGGCAGCTTAGCGTATAAACACTGTATGACTTGCGGTTTTCCATCAGACTTAAAGATTTAAAAGATCCAAAGGTGTCGTAAATAGACAGCAAATCCCAGCCGTCTTTGTGCTTGAAAGGTACCCACGATTCTCGAATGAGCCTTGCTTTGAAAGGGCCTGAAAAGCGTTCCTAGAAAAGTCGTCACTTGCGTGTACCGAAGCCGGTTTCGGTTTGGAGCAGGTAGATTCTCATTCTTCGGTCTTCATTCTTCATTTCTTCATTTAAAAATCAAATAAAGAGCGTTCAAGGGTTTTTTGCGCTGCAGGATATCGGATTTGACGCTGCGCCCGCTGCGTCCGCTCCACTCGTATATGTGGCAGACGCACGGTACGCCACTGAACTGGGGTTTTTTTTAGCGAACGAAAACGCCACTCTTTGTACTGGTACTTCAGTGCTGATTAGTATTCGGCGAATTAATCGGAAATGAGCCCAGAAAAAAGCGCGCAAAAGGGCCGCTTTCGGGCCGCATTCCGGCCGGACGTTGAAACGGCCATTTTTGACATTTTGCGACGGCCGCAAAAAGTGGCCCAATGCACGCCAAAACATCCGCGCAGAATGCACACACATACACTCGACAACCGAACGACAATTTTAAAATGACCTAAGTGACGTGGTGCGAAAGTACCCGATAACGTCCGAAGTACATATAAGCCAGTAATGACACTTGACGTTTCATATCGGATAGAAGTTCTATCGAACTATTTGATCCTATTTATTTCAGACCTGAATTTATTCAGAATTTCTCGTAAATAGGCGATTTATGGCCATAAAGGAAGAAGCTCGTGTGTATCAATCGAATATTACATGAAATGATTGAAAAATTATCAATTGGCCGAGATGCTGTTGCACCTCGGCCAACCTGATCTAAACAATCGGGAGTTTTAACTTAAAACAATCAGGGTTTTTTAAAAACAGACTCCAGTTGGGCTTGAACATCCCCTTTGAGTTAATTGAGAGTTTAACTTGAGTTTGAGAACTTAAGAAGACTTTCAACATCTTTAGCCTCAAATGTCTCGATAAATCAAATGAAATTGACATGACAAACTCATGATTCATGCCCATAAAAGGGCTCCGCCTAGGGAGGGGACATGGAAAGGCAATGTCGATGTTAGGGAAACATCGAAGGCAGAACATCGATGTTTGACAACATCGATGTTCTTATAGTTTGCCGTTGCATACAAATTTCAAACTGATTAACTTAAACTCAAATATTATTATATTCCTGGGTCTCAGTCAAAGTGTGAAGTTGATTTTTACCAATCATGAAGTAAGTTTTTCCGGTGTTTTGCTCTCTCAAAACGAAGAATTTTTTCCCTCAAAAACTGATGAATGTTTTAACACTTTGTAAACTATAATTTTTATACAACGTGTTTTAATTGTGAATTGGAGTTTGTAGTTTGTGTAAATTTTAACTCTGATGATGGCGCTTTTGTCTCGCCGAAACGTAATGACATAAACGATGTTTCAAAATTTTTACTTCACAGTTTGACTGAGACCCAGGAAAGGTAGGAATATCATAACAAGTACACGCAGTCAGAAAAATAAATCAGAATTAAACTAAAATAGTTTTATTTCACTACTACTATGACATTAAATAATCGACTAAATTTATTCAACTTATAGTTGCCACATTTTTCGGACAAGCGACTGCAAAAAGAGGCTGTTTTCGGGTGCAGCTGCAAATGGGCCGCCTTCCGCGATATCGTTTGTATCGGCACTATAAAAGAGTTCGCAGAAAATGTTTCTATCTATTATCAACATCAAATGTCGGATGTTTTCATTTCAGGATCTAACATCGATGTTTTATCGATGTCCCAAATTTCCAACATCGATGGTGAAAATATCGAACATCGAACGAATTACATCGATGTTTTTAACCCATCCCTAGCTCCGCCTCATTTCATCCCAAAACCGTTGAATGAGTTGTTGAATTGATTGATCAACTGGAAGAGGTGGAGCAAAATAGGCCATCTGGATCACCTGACCTAAGCAATGGGGACTTTTAGCTAACGAGCAGAAGCAAAGGGATGAGTCCCGTTTGACCCAAAGAGATCCGCTTACCAATGTTTCCTATTTACCTACGTACACCGCGATAAGAAAATTGGCACGTAATTTAGGCACTGCCCCTTACATTGCCAATACGTTAAAAAGGCAAATTTCATTGGGACTTACTGGCAAACAACTTATTGAACATATGATTCATAGCGCCGCCCGATTTCACCCAAACACCACATAAAACGATTCAAAAATCGATTGGAAAATGAGGAGCCTTGGTCAGGCCCCCATAGGGATGGGAGAAAAACATCGATGTTTCGCAAACATCGAAGTAATTCCGTCGATGTTCGATATTCTTATCGATGTTGGAAATTTGGGACATCGACAAAACATCGATGTTAAATGCTGAAATGAAAATATCGGAGATTTGATGTTGACGATACCGCGGCATAGGGGCTCATTTTCAGATACACCCAAAAAAAGCCTCTTTTTGGAGTCAGTTGACCGAAAATTGTGGCAACAATAAGTTGAATAAATTTAGTCGTAGTCGTAGTAAAATGTCATAGTAATAGTAAAATAAAATAATTCAAGTTTAAGTTAATCAATTTGAAATTTGAAGGCGACGGCAAACTATCAGAACATCGATGTTTTCCTAACATCGATATTACCTTTAGATGTCAACATCGATGGCTACCATCGATGTTATAGGATCACCTGATGTAAACAACCTAGACTTGTTTGGACTGTCGGTCGACTTCCGTCCTAAGAAACGACAAAAAATGGGTGTTTTATCGCATTTGCACAACTTACACCTACCGTAGGAGGAAACTGACTCAACATCTAATCAAAAGGCTGCTACTGTCTCCTCTTTTCTCACAAATGTTATTGTGGACAATCGACACAAAAGACGAAAGTTAGTAGAACGAACGTGTAACCAAACAAGCACTTGATATGCTAAGAACAGTTCTAATGTCTTATTCGTCTGAATAATTCTCCTGAGGCGGAAAAAAGAGCTAAATGAGGGAGAATGCTTATTTATGCTGCAAAATTTCGCCTGATTTTTTTTCTATAGGATGGTGAAACTGATAAGTTGTTCGGAATAGGGCTAAAAACTCGGGTGCTTTTTTTTAAATCGAAGTTTGATATGCCACGAATTTTTCGAAACACCTTGTGTAACGGAATTAATTTTACTGGATGGCCACCATTGATCGCACAAAAAAATCACGTCAAAATTGCACTCCAGTGAGCCAAAATCCTTCACCCCATCTTCGTTACGCCAACCTGTAATTTCCCTGATTTGTCGCAATGTGGTCCAAAAAAAAACCATTGTCTTCAATCATTTCAGATGCTTCATCTGGAAGATCTTGCGCAAAAAGTCCCATTTTTTACCGCAAAAACTCATGTTCTCGTTGAACCAATTGTGCGACATTTGACTGGTCGAGTTTACGAGAAATTCTGCTTATGGCAAATCCAGGATTTTGATCTGGGCGCGCTGAGATCATAAGAAAGTATCGTTGTATCGATGTATCGTAACCTCGAGGTTCTTCTGGACGGAATTAACGTCTTTTTGAAATACTTAGTTTAAGAATTTACAGAATTATAAAATGGTATTTAGTTAATATTAAAGTTAAATGAGATTTTTGAGTTGTTACGATGAAATAGAAAGTATGGTACTGTGGCTGGATTCGCCCCTGGCATAAACTAACCCAACCCAAACTGATGTTTCCACTATTGACGAATTCCAGGTGGAAATCACTGTCCTGGACAAAAATGACAGTCCGCCATCGTTCGCGTCCGCCCCCCTCCACTACACGGTGTCCGAGGAATTCGGCCCGGGACAGACCGTGTCCACTATCCGGGCTGAAGATCCCGACACTATTGGTCAGCTCGAGTACAAAATCCTGGGTGGGGATGATGGCAAGTTTGGATTGGACAGCGATAGCGGCGTTCTGAAGCTAACGGACAGCCTGGACCGGGAGACTAAGGACGTGTACCGGCTGTCCGTGAGATGCAGCGATGGGCAACAATATACCGATACTGTGGTGACGATTGAGGTTTGGATAGTTTTTGGGGACAGTTGAGGGTAAATTAGAGCTTTGGATTGTTCCAGGTTAGCGATTCCAACGATAATCCGCCAGTTTTCTTGGAACAGGCCTATTCGTTCGATATTCCGGAAAATGCAATGCGTGGCTTTCGAGTGGGGCAAATCCAGGCTGCCGACGCTGACTTGGGCGCGAATGCTCAGCTCACCTTCACAGTGATCAGCGACTGGGCTAATGACGTGTTTTCGCTCAATCCCCAAACCGGAGTGTTCACTTTGACCTCGAAACTGGACTATGAGGAGGTAAAAGAACACATCAAATGGGTGGTCAATTCCAGCTAAATCATAAACGGCCGACGAAAACGTGCTTAATGAACAAAAGACACGGCTTTGGCGCTCAAGAGGCGGCAAATTGCTGTTGTTTTATGGCCTTTCTGTTTACCCATTATACAGGGTGCTTTAACTTTGGTGACATTCTTCTGTAGGTCGTGTCTGGGAGTAGGCCTGGGTAACTCAGTGAATTCTTAGGAGTTGGCGCATTGCGGCGCAAATGGCTTGATGCGCCAACCCAACGTACCGGCGCAGTAACTCAGTTCCGTTGCTGGGAAAATGTTGATGACTTTTTTTAGATTTATTTTAAAAAGCCATTTATTAATAATATTTTTTAAATGTCTTACTTTTTTTAATACTCTTTCTTCTAAATGCTCAATTTTCTAAAGTTTCACTTAAAAATGCTGACAATCTTAAGGTATTTTTCGCGAAAAATTATGAAATAAATTTCGAATCCTTCGTCGCTTTGAAAAACCTTTTGAGATCCCATTCCAGCTTCGAATTTGGAACAAAAATCAAACAATTTTGTATCAAAAAACGAACAGAAGCGAAAGTTTATAACAGATTATTTGGAAATCTCGTCACCTCCATTCCTCTTAAGACT